AGAAAGAAAGAAAGAAAGAAAGAAAGAAAGAAAGAAAGAAAGAAAGAAAAAGAAAGAAAGAAAGAAAGATAGATAGATAGATAGATAGATAGATAGATAGATAGATAGATAGATAGATAGATAGATGATAGATAGATATGTTAATAGATGATAAGACAGAGAGACAAATAGTGAGAGACAGAGAGATAGAATGGAATAGAATACTTTTATTGGCCAAGTGTGATTGGACACACAAGGAATTTGTCTTGGTGTAAATACTCTCCGTATACATAAAAAAAAAGATACATTCATCAGGAATCAAGAATCATCAGGTTCGACACGACAGTCATCAGGTACAATAAGCAATCAATCATACTAGGAAACAGTCAACATAAATTGTAAGGATACAAGATAAGATATTGATAGCACTAGCACAGACTTATATACCACTTCACAGTGCTTTCCAGCCCTCTTTAAGCAGTTTACAGAGTCAGCATATTCCCCCAATAATCTGGGCCCTCATTTTACCCAACTTGGAAGGACGGAAGGCTGAGTCAACCTTGAGCCTGGTGAGATTCGAACTGCCAAATTGCAGTCAGCCGGCAGTCAGCAGAAGGAGCCCTGCAGTATCGCGCTCTCACCACTGCGCCAGCATCTCACCATTGCAAAGCCGAGCATCTCTACAAACGGGGATGACACGACTGGCATAAATAGCTGCCGGTTGCCAAAGTGTCCAAATTTTGATCACGTGACCTTGGGGATGCTGCCCCGGCCATAGGTATGATAAATTGGTCATTGGTTACTTTTTTCAGGTTTCCTGTCGCTTTGAACGGTCACTAAACGAATGGTTTATAAGTCAAGAACTGTCTGTATAAGAATAGATCTATTTCTCCTATTTTAACTTCCATACGTTGGGGTTGAGAAGCTGTTTGGGGACTTGTTTTAAGGCAGAGGTGGGGCACTCTTCCTGGGAATTGGTGATAAACATCGAGTTTTAGCATGCCGAGCTAGCAGTACAGGTAGTCCTCGACTTACAACAGTTCATTTAGTGACGGTTCAAAGTCACAACAGTACTGAAAAGTGTGGCTTACGACTGTTTTTCATGGTTACGACCAGCGTTGGGATGCTACCGGTTCTGCCCGGTTCTATAGAACCGCTAGCTCTGAAGAGCAGCAGACACCAAAACGGTTCTGTGTTTGCTGCTGTTTGGCTGACCCGCCCACCTGGGCTCTTACCTGTCCTTTATTTCCTGCTATTTCAACCCCAGCTGCTTTGCGCGACACAGCTGAGGTTGAAAAAGCAGGGAAAAAAGTGGCTTTTCAAATGCTGTGCACCTGTGCGCTGCGCTTTTCAGCTGTCCCCGTGGCTCAGCTAATAGTGTAGCAGATGCGCGTACCTCAAAACGCAAATGCCAAACCGGTAGTAATGCCAGTTGAATCCCACCCCTGGTTACGACCTTGGCAATATTCCCATGTTCACATGATCAAAATTCAGATGCTTGGTCACTGGTTCATATTTATGACTGTTGCTGTAGATCACGTGATCACCTTTTGCGACCTTCTTACGGGCAAAGTCAACAAGGAAGCCAGATTCGCTTAGCAACCGGATCACTAACTGATCACCTGCAGGGATTCACTTAACAACCGTGGCAAAAAAAAAGCTCATAAAATGGGGCAAAACTCCCTTTTGCAAATGTCTCACTTTAACAGCAGGCATTTTGGACTCAGGGGTGGTCAGGGGTAGAGATTCAGGGGTGGGATTCAAAGAGTTTCCCCAGCGGTTTGGTGGGCATGGCTTGGTGGGCGCGCAGAGGCGTTCCAACTCACCTCCTGCAAGCCTGCACTCTCCCAGTCGCTTCAGCTGCTGCTGCGCAGCACTCTGCGGTGCCGTGCAAAGCAGCTGCGTGTCAAAAGCAGAGGATAAAAGTGAGTCTGGGAGCCCAAGCGGGCAGGTAGGCCCAACAGCAGAGCAGTGGAGAGAGCCGGTTTGGCCTCCGCTACTCATCACTGCTACCGGCTTGGCAGAACCGGGACGAACCGGTAGAATACCACCACTGGTGGGATTCTATCGGTTCGGGCGAACCCCGAGCTCTGAAGATCCGCTGGGAGCGAACCGCTTCGCTCTGATGATCATGTCTGCTTGCTGTTCGCCCACCCTTATGCTGCACTGAGCTTTACCGTCCCAGCTCATAAGCGCGGAAGAGTGGATTGCCGCTCCTCGGCTGTGTAACCCCGAAGTAACATAGCCGGGAAGGATTTTTGCATTGCTGTTCATGTGTGCAAACATGCAAAGCCCACGCGCACGAAAAGCACACGATTACCAAACCTGTTGTTATACCGGCAGCATCCCACCCCTGGGCTGCCTGCATTATTTCTTTGTCTGCGGGCGCACAGGCACATAGGAAGGCCCCCTTCTCTCTCGAGCGTTTGATTTCCCAAGAAAAGGAAGGCGTGTTGTAGGAGGAAGTGGAAATCTGCAAGAAGAATAAAAATCGTATCCCTAGACCTCATACGGGGCAGGCTCCACAGGAATCACCTCTAGCTCTTACAACTGAATAAACCATAGTTAGTTGTGAACAAACCCCACTTTTTTTCTAGCCGTAGGGACCGGAGAAGGGAGGGAGAGTGCTCACCAGAGACCTGTCCTCCTGCGGAGAGACTCTGAAAAGAGGCTGAAGAGTGAGGAAAATACACTACCAGTTGTAGGTACTCTTAGGGCCACAGGTCACCCACCCTTGCATCAACAAGGAAGGGATAGGGTGGTCTAGGGTACCCAGCTCATTCTCAAGTTGGAGCCCTCAACACTGAGTAGCAATCGCTTCGTTAAGAGAAAACTTACTCGATCTTCAGTTGGTAAAGGGTCATCCCTTAAGCTGTTCTGATCTTTCTAGCTACCGATCTCAGAATTGTCTCCTGGTTCTAGAAGCCCCATTGTCTCTCTTAAAGGGCCCTCGCTGCATTCCCACAATGCCAACTTCCCAGCAGGTCAGGGGTGCCCAACCTTGGCAGCGTTATTAAGGCTTGTGGGCCTCAACTCCCACGATTCCTCCAGCCAGCTACGGCTGGACGCCCCCGATGGAGATTATTCTATCCGGTTTTCTGAACCACGTGCTCACTATATCACGGGGTTTTCTTGACCTGCTAGATCAGGGGTGTCAAAACTGGCGACGACACGTCGTCACGTGATTTATCACAACTTTTTTTCTGTCTGCTGGTGGCCAAGTGCTAAGGCAGGACTTCCTTTCCCTTCCTTCCTTCCTTCCTTCCTTCCTTCCTTCCTTCCTTCCTTCCTTCTTTTTCTTTCCCTCTTCATTCTCCTTTCTTCTTCCTTCCCCTCTTTCCTTCTTTTTTCCTTCCTTACTCTCTTCTCATCTTCTCTTCTGTCTTCTTTCTCTTTCTCCTTTCCTGTCCCTTCTTGGATGCTCAAATGCAACAGGGGAAACATTTCTCCTTTTCTTTTGCTTTTTCATTCGTTTTGCTAGCCCTCTGACAGTGAGAACAGAGCCTGGTGGGGGTGGGCAGCCCCCTGGGCCCCATTTTCGGCCTGGATGGTCTCCTGAAGCCCTCTCCATTTTCACTGACAGAGGCACCATGGGCTAGTCCTTCGCTATTTCCATGGCTGCCAGTGGTGGGATTCAAAACTTTTTACTAGCGGTTCTGTGGGCGTGGCTTGGTGGGCGTGGCAGTGGAAGGATACTGTAAAATCTCCATTCCCTCCCCATCCCGCTAACCTGCTTTACAGCTCCGTTCTCCTCTGCAGGGCAACCAAATAAGACCCAGCCAATCAGCTGGGACTCGGGAGGCAGAGAAGAGATGGGGGCGGGGCCAGTCAGAGGTGGGATTTGCCGGTTCTCCGAACTACTCTAAATTTCCATCACCGGTTCTCCAGAATGGGTCGGAACCTGCTGAATACCACCTCTGATGGCTGCT